GTAGCAGAGGTGCTCCAGCCCTCGGATCATCTCCGTGGCCTCCTCTGGCCCCGCTCCAACACATCCATGTCCTTCCTATGTTGGGGGCTCCAGAGCTGGACGCAGGACTCCAGGTGGGGTCTGGAGTTCCAACATGTTGAATGTCACTTCAGATTTGCCCAAAGGAACAAAAAACCCAGAGAGGAAGCTTCCAAAATCATGAGGTAGCTTCCTGCAAAACAATGACATTTATGAGAAAAGATGATTTATGTTTACATCCTTTCTGAATCCTGAGCACTTAAGGCAAACTTGAGTCATGCTTGCAAACTCTTCTCTACAACCACTAGAGTCAGGTTTTTAAATAATAATAAATGTGGCTAAGATTCTCAAAGAGGAGCTTTAAGTGGGCAAGAGGTAAATAAACGCTGAAGAGCTTGCACTTCAACTGCGCACGTTCGGATGCCAAAGGGGGATGGAGCTGATGCTGCCGAGGAACAGCTGAGCAGGAAATCACGTACCCAGCGCAGCGAGGAACTGATGTAAAGGGTTAAGACGCGTGTGGGCATCAAGGGCTGCTAAACGGGGACCGGTGAGGCTGCAGCTCGACTGGCAGAGGCTGCGGGAGGGGGGAGCCAAGCCACCAGCACCTGCGAACCCCCCCCAGCACGCGTGTGTCCCGTCCTGCGCGGGAACTTCCCGCTCTTGGGACGATGGCGGTGGACGAGTGCGGGTTCGTCAGGAAAGTTTCGCCCAGTGAGGGATGAAAGTGATAAAGAACAAGGCCTGGGTGATGGCACAAGCTGGACCATGATACCCATATCACAACGAAATAATATCTCATGATATTTTCAGTCCACAGAAAAAGTAAATTGTGGTCCCAAGCCCAAAAATTGTAATTTCTAGTGGAGACCTCCAGCTGCTTTTATTGTTGTTCACGCGTGCTATGCTCTGGCCCTACTGAAAAATCCTGCTATGTCTGTCCAGTTCCGCGGCGGCTCTCCCGCCGTCCCCTTTCGCCAAGGAACACGCATGGGCCTTCTCTGGTCGTGGTGGCATTTGAAGGGCACCAGGTCAGAAACCTTGGTTGTGCTGACCTCAGCCAAAGACAAGTGGGCGCAGAGAGCCGACGTACAAGAGAAAGAGAAAAAAGCTGAAAAATATGGTAAGGACACAAGTGAAATAATACAGAGATTTTTAGATGTTAAAATGCCTTAATAATTATCGGAAGATGTGTCCCTAGCCCCTAGCCAGCTCCACCTCAGCCAGGACAGGACCAGCAAAGCCCCTCACTTGTGTCTGCCAGGCGAGCCGCGTGCTGAGAGGGAAAATTTGACCGGGCCAAAACAGATAAAACCCATCAGTTTTCACCGATGTTTTCTAATGTCACGACAGCAACAGTTGTGCCTCTCTGACTTCACTGAAATGCAACGTGCTGGAGATGAAGCCATCCCCGTAGCTGTCTGTCGGTGTCCGGCGCTGTTGCTGGGCACAGCAGGATGAGCCTGGCACACGGCGCACGCTGCTGGTCCAGCGCCGGGCACGGGCATGGCGGTGAACGGCAGGTAGGCTTGATCCGGTCTTCATGAAGAAGAAATTAAAGGTTGTCTCCAAAAAGATGTGCTTGGTCTGGCAGGGACCGGGTGTCAGAGATGTATTTTGCATTACTCATGAACTGGGGATGGGGCAGGGCAGGGATTTGGTGATCCGCAGGGGACGGCAACAGGCGTCACCTCCTCGGGTATCGGAGCTTTGGGACGAAGGGAACGCAACCAGGATGCTCCGGCATCCTCCAGCTCTCGGTGCGCCCACAAACACGGGTCTGGAGATCTCAACCCAGACCGAGCTCAGCCACACCGCTTGGGTTTCGGGGGGGCTTCCATCCAAACCCCTCCTCCCCGCCGAGGTGGGTACCAGTGGAGCCAGGGAGGAGGAGGAGGAGGAGGAGGATCTCTTCTCCGGAGAGAAATCCGCCTTGCCGGAACAGGCG